TAGTGCTTTAGTAGTAGACTGTTCTAACATCCCAGCTAAATGTAAAATTTGGAGGGAAAGGAATTTAAAATTCAAAAATGATTTTTCTTTTTTGGATAGAATTTGCTTGTGCTTTACAGCAGATTCTTTGGTAATGCATATGCACCTACACATGGTGTATACACATACACCTACAAATGTATACATGGAAATGTTAATGCATAATTTTTAATCAGAAAATTTCCATAAGTCATTAGCAAGCCAATTAATATCAACAGTGTAAATGGTATGGGGAGGGAAGATATGGATCTTCAAAAACAAGACTTTAAAATGTAAACGTTTGAAATGTTATACATCTTTTTTTCTGGACTTGACTATTGAGCACATACCTAACAGCTGGTTCTTCTATGAAATACATATGATATAATTTTCAGTTCCTTAGGGAATACTGTCCAGTTTATGAGGTGTTACAAGTGTGACAAGGTGCAATTTTTGTTTGCTCTTTTTTCTCTTCTCTCCAAGAAGCTCTGGATGTTTTTTGTGTTTCACCTGACTTGCAGGGAAAACAGGATTTTTGCTTTGAGAGTATGAGATAATATTAATGAGGTCATACTTTCATAGTTTTCTTAGTTACCGAGTACATTTCTTCTTCTGCCTAAAATCTCAGCTTTCTCTAACAGACTAGACTTCCCAACAAGTCTGATGTTGCCCAACTACCAGAGATTAAAATCAGTTTGTAGACAGTCATTGAAGAACCTGGGGAGTTTTGTAAGGGGTAAAACTGAAGGAAATGCTCTGAGAAACCCATGAAGAGCATCTTGTGATAAAATTATGATCGTGATTGGCAAGTTGCTTTAGCCCCCTAAAGTTGTAGGGAAGGGTCAGGTGCTCTGGTTTGTGAGTTACTCGCTGTAAGATTTTTGAGAGTGAGTCCTGCTGAACTGTCCCGAGAAAAGTAACTAAATGGAGACTGATTTTGGGCTAAGCAGTAGTAAAGATCCGCTGATGATGATGCTGACTTTTGTTTGAAACTTCAAGGTGGATTGGCCTTCTTGCTGAGCGGCTGGAGTTGGTCTGGTGCTGTCAGGAGCTTGCTCTGGCCCGCCTCGTGGAGAGGCGCAGCGTGAGCCCGGGGCTGAGGCGTTGGTGCTGTTTAACCCAGGCAGCCAGCTCTGCAGGGAAAGCTTTTCTGCACCTTTCTCGTACTTTATCTCTGAAAAGGGTAATTCATTCACATACCTAAAAATGATTTCAGATGCTGAATTTCAACCCCTTTGAAAACGTCGGCATGTGCATAATTCCATAAGAAAACAAAATGCATTCATTAGTGTAAAGATTCTGTTATCCTTTTTTAACTACCCATCCTTAAAACAGAAAGCACTCCAATGATATATACAGTGTCTCTAATCCATACCATGGATTGTTTCTAAATTATTTGTGCAATAAACCTTAAACTTTACTGACAGTTTGGGAGCTAAAGCTCAGTTTGAGAGATAGTAGAGCTCATTTCTCTGGTGTATTGAAGGCAAAGGATAAAAGCAGTGGGGTGCTTGAAAACATTCAAGATAGCCCAGCAGATGTAGTAGTGCGAGTGTTGCAATCCTTTTAAACTTTCCCCCTTGTTGAGATGGGTAAGTTCAGACAAATTTTTTCGTTAACGCTGTGATACAGCATTGCAGGGCTCAAGCAGTGTTTCTTGCCAAGAGGTGGAAAAAGGATATTATTGTGTTAGTTCCTTAATCTTTTCTTCTAAGGCTCTTGAGACCTCAAAGGAGCCCAGTCCTCAGCTGTTAAAATCAGCAATATTTAATTTAAAATGTTGTGTGTTATTTTGCGGCTAATAACTATCCAACCCTCAGTCTGTTTATTTGAGTACTATTGGGCTACACAGGAGACACATATTCTTATGGCAGGGGCAACTCTCTGCCATTCCCAACTCGCACAATCAGAGAAGAGCAGAAGTCGCCAGGGCTCCGTTTTGCCTTCTTGTTTCCACATGCTGGAGTTGATGTTTTTGACCAGAGTTCTTCTGCGAGGGCTGCTGCTGACACGGAGCGCCAAGCTGGAAAGCAGAGATAACCGTGTGTCACTGCTGCTGGGTGATGGATACTCTGATTCAAACCCCTTTCCTTTCCTCGGTTGCACAGGTGGTAAAATCTTATTAGAACTGATTTAGTGGGTGGCAGAACAGGTTCATAATTCTCAGCTTCCTTCCCTCTTGCAGCTTAAACAAGATTTGGGAGCATAAAATAATTTTTAATCTTTCCAAGGAAAGATGCTAATCTGAAGCTGGCTCTTGGCTCAGTGTTAGGTTCCAACGGGCCCTGATAACACCTTATGATTTGTGGAGATTTAACATGGATTGAGATGTCAGCTTGCAGCTCACACTCCAGGCTGCCTTGTCTAACGGGAACTAGATGGGGGTTTACACCTAGTGGAGGCTCTGTACCATTAAATAAACTCTGGAGTTGGGGAAGTTCTCACTTTTTGCATGTGCTCACTCTTTGCTGTCCACTGGGATGGTTAAAAAAGAAGTGGACATCAGTGAGGTCTTAACCTCTCCGCACAGGCTTCTTTTACCCATTTATTTCCACCCCACAGTTTGAACAAATGCCTTGATTTCACTCTTTGAAGCCCAACAAAGAAGCAATTTTGGCTATTTGATGTACAAACCACACAGGCATATAAATGTCCCAGAACACTAAGGTATATATAACTGTAATGTCAGTGGTGGGAAAAAGTTATACTAGAAGTGTGGCTTAATACTCATTCAGAAATTAGCAAAAGCAAAATTATATTCACTATGTATGTGGGATTAAACAAGTATTTAGAGAGAGTGAAAAAAAGCCCAAGAATGTCACTCTTCCTTTGATTTGGAGTGCAAAAATATTTGTTGTGTGTAAAGATTTGGAGAGAGAGAAAAAAAGAAAAAAAAAAAGGCAATATTTGAGCCTTCAGCTGCCTGTTCATTAACTGCATGGTGCCCATCAAGTGAGATTGGGCTGTCAGAAACACTGATGCAAATCTGCCATATTTCCGTTGGAGATATTAATATTGTTTCAGTTTTCACATTTTTGTGTTAATGAGGTCAGAAATTTTGGCTCCTCTTTTCCATGGCTGCAGATTTGAGAAAAGCACAGTGTTTTCAGAACAGGTCTAGGAAGGAGCTGTCATCAAGACAGGCAATTCTTTGAATGTTGATGAGCTTCTTGATTGACATCCCTATAATTTTGTTTGTTCTGAGCTGCTGCTTGTTCCCGGAACAGGGCTATTTAAGATGAAATGACAAGAGCTGTTCACAGCGCTTTTGGATGCGATTTCCAGTTACTCCTGAAAATTAGGAGGCTGAAAGACGACAGAGTCCATCTTCTGTATTTATGCCATTAGCTTCAATGCTTCGTCTTTTTACTTTTTTAGTTTCTGGGGGGTGTCCAGAGGCTTATTTTGTTACTTAAAGGACTGACTTCTTAAGAAATGCTTCTCTGAGCCATCTTATCTATTTTTTTCCATCTCTGGAACAGACCTATTTTTCATTAATTTACATTACAGCGCAGCCCGCATGGATGCAGGAAAAACACGTTCTGCGAGCTCTGCTAGCCGGCTCAGAGTTCCTCTGGAGTGATGGAAGAACTTCTTTACTGCGGGGGTGACAGAGCCCTGGAACAGGCTGCCCAGAGAGACTGTGGAGTCTCCTTCTCTGGAGATCTTCAAACCCTGCCTCGATGCGACCCTGTGCCACGTACTCTAGGTGTCCCTGCTGGAGCAGGGGGTTGGACTAGGTGATCTTTAGAGGTCCTTTCCAACCTCAACCACTCTGTGATTCTGGGTCATTCTGGGATGCTGGCCCTGGGAATCAGCCTGAGTGGAAGCACCGACTTTGGCTGCGGCCTAAGGAGGATATAGGGGAAGCTACTGCGGAAGCGCGGCGCCCACGGGCAGCCCTGCTGCTCGCAGTAGGAACCCTGCGGCGTTCATTCCTTGTCGAGCCTCGGGGTGCCCTGCATCTGCCAAATAAAGCTGTGCAGCAGCTCGCAAGTGCCATGTGTCCCTTTTTCTTTCTGCGTTTCTGCTTTTAATGAACGCTGCTTGCTGGAAACACCGTTCGGTGGGTCTGTGCCGTAAGTTAAGGTAACTGCGCTGGGAACAGCAGGCATCGATCTTGGCTTCTGAAAAACTCAAGCTCTGCATTTCTGTGCCTGCCCATTTCTGTAACTTAAGTTGAGAGATGGAGCAATTTTGCCTTTTTTTGCTGGGAAAAAAAGGATGAAGCAAAGCCCCTTGCTACTCACATCCCATCCTTTTTGGGCATTTAAGCCTGTCTTTAATGTGAATTAGGCATCTGCTACAGCACCTTTGGCAACATACTCTGAGCCACTTACATCAGAGTTGGTTAAAACAGATATTCCTTCTTTGCAGATAATATTTTCTCTCATCAGTCTTCAAAACCCTGTATAGGAGTATGAAGCATTTTAGTGCAGTCTCATTTTCCAGAAGGCCACCACAGATGAGGGCGGTAGCTGCTCTTCCCGTGGGTGTATGATGAGCTGCCTGGAGACCTGAGGCCTGGGAGCACCGTCCCTTTGTGCTGCGACGGGCCAGGGCCTGGACCTTTCACATGGTGCTTCCATGGGAAGCGTTGGATTCAGCCCTCAGTGGAACTTTTGTCCTTTTCCAGATTTTTTTTATGTGTTTGAAGAACTGGCATTTAAAGATTTTTTTTTCCTTAAGAAGATACTCCTTGTCTGCAGATATATATATTTTTTTCCTGTTCTTTTTCAAGTTGGGGGCAAGATTTACGGGGAAATCATCAGACTTTCAGACTTTTTTCACACTGGATGGGTGTGTCATACTACTTCTGCATTTCCTTGAGTTGAAGAGAGACATGTAGGTGGCTGCTGAAAATACATTAGTTTGCATCCCCCAAAACAGGAATTTTTAAAGCTTTGTATATATATATATGCATATATATATATATAAAATATCTATGTTTTACTAGGAGTGCATGCTTAGAAATGGCAGCAATGGGTATGCTGATAGAGCAACCATCTATACTGCCTTGCAAGTTGGCTCCTAATCTGTAAATGATAAAATTATGATGAATGTTTCTTTCATGACTACTTAAATATCTTTTTCTTTTCTCTGGCATTCTATTTGTTACATATCATTTCTCACGCCATCATGAGTAAGAGCTATGATAGCAAGCTGTTGAAAAGTGCTTGAATTAATTTCTTTTTAATCAATATGTTGTATGAATTTCTTCTTACTTACAAAGACAGAAATCAGAACAGATTTTCCTCAAGTCAATGTTGTAAGATCAGGATAAATACAAGAGCTTCATGCATTTTTAAATAAGTGTGACTAATCAGGTAGACACATGGTAGACTCATCTGTTTTTTGTTGTTCAGTTTTCCCTCTTGCTCTACGACATTTGTTTTTGTTTTACCAACTTAAGAAAAAAATCAAGAAGTTGTTCAACTAAAACCAGCAGGAAAGGGAGTGAAAGAATAAATGCAGCACGACAGGGATGAGAAATGGCAGACTTCAGGAGTTGATCATGACAAAGAAAGTGCTAAAAGCCACAACACCTGTTGTGTTCTTGTAGTAATGCTCAAGCTCGTTTCAGTCACGTTTCAGTCTTTTTGATTAAAATTCCTATATCCTGTATTAAAAAGTATGAAAATATGTATTTTGAAACTCTTTATTCTTTCTATGTTTTTCACCCTGTATTGAAATCAATCCCCTTTTCCATTTGAGCTTCTTAAAACTCTTGAGGCACTCCCTTTGAACCCGTTGCAGGCCACCGCTCATTGGAGGTAACGTGTTGTGTGACTGCCGTGCCCTCGGCCACCAGCGTGCCCACTGTGGGCAACACAGTCCCCAGGAGGCCTTCAGGAGGCCTGTGGTGTTTGGCCATGCATCAGGTCTGCAGAGATACATCACACTGCAAGATGAATGTATCCCCAAAATGACATCAGGATTGCTGAGCCACCCCCAAGCTTCCCGATACCAGCAGTGGAGCGGTTCATTTGCTAAGTAAGTTCAGCCCTTCTTTCATCTTCATGGAGCATTCACAGAGAGCACCCAGTTGGCCTTCCCACGTGCCTTAATCTTCATTTCAGTGGTACTGCTACAGCCCAACCTGAGCTCAGTGATGCCCTGGGGAGAGGTTATCTACACGAGAGTTATTTGGATGGAGGATTGTGCTTTATAAAGGAAGACGTTATTTGTGAATATTTGCTGGATATATTGGAGAAATATATTTCCCATATTGTGGGGAAATCTGTTACTTTTTTGTGTTAGGCTGTAATTCTCTTCAGTTATAATTTTTCTAATCATACCCTTCATTCTTCGTAATTAAATTACTGCATACCCTTAATTGGGATATTGTTGACAGAAAATAGCAAGTGGAACAGCTTCTGCATTACAAGAACACACAAGAAGAACATATGTTTAAGAAATGGGCATGATAGGTGAGCAAATGTAAGCCGCAGTTTTGCACATAACTTCAGAGTTAGGTTTGAGGAATATCTGGAGCTGTGGTCATCCAGGGCTCAAGTGAAAGATCACAAGTATTATTTTATTACCAAAAAAACAGAGAAACTGTTTTGGTTTTCAGTGAAAATGAAAACAGTAATGGGATGGCAGGAACTTTGTGTTGAATATCTGATTTTATGCTCCTCCAAATTAATTCATATATTTCTAGTGGAATTTTACAATTAGAGACTTTTATCTCTGTTTTTCTGCATCAGTTAGTTAGTCCTTTTGATCACATTCTATAAAATTTATTATAGTTTCCGTGGTGATTTTGTCAAATGACACTTCCAGAGGAGAGAAAATTGCATATAAAATCCGAAGAGAAGAAGTAGGTGATGCATCAAATAAGTCTTTTTCTGGGTGACAGAAAAAAAGAAAAATTCCAATATTTTCTTCCTAACAGAGTAAAAAGAAATAACATTGCAAATAGGCTGAGAACATCCAAATAGTGACCTTAAACACAGCTTATTCCTCCCCAAGCATCTGGTATTACCTGCTGTTCTCAATAATTTTCCTCTTTTACCCTGAAAAATGCTGTGTCTTTTAGGGAAGCCAGTGTATTGCAGTTTGCCATTGCATGCACAATAGAAAATAAGAATCAGAATATTTCATGGAGTGTGGGGAAATGTAAGAGAGATGAGAGGTTTTTGTTTTTCTCCTCACATACTCTCCAAGATCTAGGATTTACTTCTTTGAGTAGCAACACAGGTGGAATTTACCTTTCATTTTCTAAACTGTTTTTTTTTTTTTTCATTGATGTGGTTTTGTACTGATCTTTATTTATTTATTTTGGCTCTGAATGTATGTACACATATCATTTTGATTTGGCCTGGCAGCTAAATCTGAATTCGGCTCTTGGAAAACTGTCTGCATACATAACATAGAGTTATGTTTTTGGCTCCTTGCTGTTTCTGCCTCTTTATTTCATTAAAGTCTTGAAGTTTGAGATATTTTTAAATGGAATGGTAGGGATCTCAAAACCAAAAGACTCTCCTACTCTTGCCTTCCTTTTCTATCTCACCTACCATTCCTCATTTTTGTATGCCTAAGGGCAAAAGAGATAAGAAGGTAAATGCAAACTATAAAAAGAAAAAACCTACTACTATGCCATCCCTGCTCTTCAGTGTTTAAAAGCTATCTAGAGTCTTCTTAAATTTTTGAATGCATATTATTGTATCATAAGGGTTGAAGTCAAAGAGATATCCTTTAATAAATTTAGACCTATGTTGGCTGACAGCCATCAGGGCAATGGCAAAGTTACCACTCTTTCTATCAAGATAAGGGATTTTAAAAATTAAACAAGTTTTTCTGTGGTGGATTGTTTTTAGCATTTTATATCCTTGAATAACCAAGTGGCACTAAGGAACAGATTTATAGGAGGTGAAAGATGCTAGAGTAGTTCTATACCTTACCCTTCAATAGCAGTAGCATAAACGAGTAGCAACATTTTCTTGAAATCCTGATGTTAGCAGTAGGTTAAGTGAAGGATTAAGCCAATTAAGCATAACAAGCACACAAAGCCATTTAGCTGTATTTCCAAATTGCAGAACTCTTTTCTGTAGTTCGTATGCAAGTTATAATCCAGGCAGGTTATCTGGAAAATTAAGAACCAACCTATCAGAAAAATAGGACTCGTTAAGCTGAAAGAAATTTCAGTAGTGAGCCTTTCTCTAATGATATTTCGGTATGTCTTTAATTCAATTTACTTTTTTTTTCAATGATGAAAAACATATTTTAGACACTCTTTAGGCATTCTATTTCTTGAATAGTTATTCTGTTGAGCATCAGATTTTCTGTGGCAAAGTAATCATGGAAATATTTTGAGTAGAACTGCTGCAGGATATTTAAGATCATACAGGTTCTTGGAGGCAAAAATATGGCAGTAAAACGTTTTATTTGGATGCAAAGTGTGCACTGAATGTGATGAAAAGTTTGAGGGGTTGATTTTGTTTTGGAATTTCATGATTGTTTTTCCCAAAGAGAAAGAGTTAGCTACAAAAATGACAGCAGCAGCTCTACATTTTATCGCCAAACGTGATATTATATAGCATTCAGGAGCAGGATGGTAAAAGTTAAGCAATGTAACATTATAAAAATGTTATATGCCATTAAAGATATTTACCTTTTATATAGGGTAGCATCTCTGAATTTTTGTGATATCTTGGGCTGGGATCCTAGAGAATTTCTTTGGGATAATAGCAAGAAGGTAAACAAAATCCATTTTTTTTGGTTTGTTTTCTTTTGCCTGTTTTGCTTCATATCTGCAGAAACATATAATGCTAGGCAACTAAACCAAGGACTATGAAATAACGTGAACTTGTGTTTAGAGCTTCCTGCTCCTGTCAGCTTAACTGATGAATACTATTGCATAGATCACTAGCAGATTGCGGTCAGATACAGCACATGTAAAAGGCAGCAAACAGAAGAAAAGCTTTTCTAGTTTTTGAACTGCGCAAAATCATGTTGTATTTTACAGAAAAGAATTCTTCCAATTTACAGACAAATTACTGAACAAAATTAATGTCATATTTTTTGTATAATTTACCTAGATTTTTTTGTAAATTGATTAGAAGCTGATGGCACTGCACAGTCCTAGCAGGCCTACTGATGTGTAGGTTCTACTGATTGAAAGTCTTATATTTACTTATATATTTATATTTATTATAAAACATTATAATGTTTTTCATTTTTTTCAGAAGTTGAATTTTATTTTAAGCTTTCTTAATTCTTCATTTTTTCTTCTTTCTTCAGAAAAATGCTTCTATTGAAATAGTTTCTTCTACAATGAATCCAGTCTTGCTTGAACTAATATCTATTTAAATAACACTTCAGCACTACTGAAGCATTCTGTTTGTCAGTGCAATATTGCTATTGTTAAATTCAAGATATTAACAAAAGGAAAGCAGTATTGAATAATAATTTGTCCTTTATTCTGAAGTATAACCAATTTTTTGTTTCCTTGGGAAAATTCCCGTGACATTAAATTACAGTGACACTCACATCTTGTTTTGCATTTCTGCAGTAATTGCCCATACGGACAGCGCTAGTTTGTGGTGAATACCAAGTAATTTATAAGACTCTAAAAATTGAGCAAGACAAGCCTAGATGAACCTACATGAACCTCTCTGTGACCATGACTTCCTGCTTATCAGTAATTCTTTTTCATTCCAAGTTCTATTTTTTAATTTGGAAGTGGTTCCTATCTCATGACCACTTTATTCCAAGCTGGATGTGAGGCAGATGAGGGGATGGACAACATAGCCATAGCAAGGCTGGGTTGCTCTTCCTTAGGCAGCTTTTGTGGTTGCACTGAGCGCGCTTCACCATCCGGAGCATTTCTCTTAATTGTGCCGTTTAATTCACTTCTTGCTCCAGTCGTCTAGCCTGTTTGCTAGAGCGATGCTGTGAATTCAGTGTTGTGTTTGGGTTTGTTTAGCTTTAGAGCCATTTGAATAATGCAGGGTGCATTTCTGTGACAGAGGTTTAAAAATGGACAGTGCAATCTAGCTCGGGTCTTCCAGTCTTTTAACTTAATAGCTTTTTTTTTTTGTTATATTATGAAATTGAGTTTTAGATGACAGCAGTACTTTTGTTGTAGTCTCCACATGCGTACATGCATATTTAACTGAAGATGGCACGGTGTAATCATCTTTAAAAATTAATGTTATAGAATTTTTTGTCTGCACAAATTAATTGAATGTTTATGAGAAGACAGATTGCTCCTATGTAATAATTACAGTTGTATTTAATATAATTAATGCCCTATATTAGATTGCTGTGAGATAGCATTATTTTCTTGTACGCTTAAGGTTTAATTGTGACAGCAGCTTTGTCTGAGTAAAGGCTGTCCCTGTATGGCATTCCCGAGAGCTTCTGTCACTGGTAAGGACTCTCAATAACAGGAACTTTTCAATTCTGGGCTCTACAGAGATCATGCTTAACTAATATCTGATGGGAACTAACATCAAACCAATGGATTGCTTATTACTCAAATTCTTTTCCTTTGTTTTATTATTCCTTGCAAAGGAACCAGTACTGTGAAAAATACATGAGGTAGCTCGTACACATGAGCAATTTGTTCCAAACATCGTCTGGGCCTGCTGGTGTGTGAGCTTCTGAAGAAAAATTAATCTATTTCTGGCAAAGAGTTGCAAAACTTTTCTTCATTCTACTCTCTCACCAAACAATTGTGAAATATTTGGGGAAATAGTAAGAAAAACTGCCCATGCGCAAAATTAAAACTGGAAGTAGTCCTTCAGTTGAACTCAGTTTAACCTTTTCCAGACTGAAAAAGCAGTAAACACATTACTTATAATCAAATTATTGGAAAATGATACAGCAGGGCTAAAGTCAAAGAAAAAAAAATACACAGTGCAGCCAAGCCTGCAGTAGTGCTTCCCGTTAAAGTCCACATGCTGCTAGTTGTTGTCGCGGAGGTATAGGATGTGCCTATGAAAGCTGCAGTAGTAATGACTGTAGTATATGGGTATCTGGTAGAG